TACATTTTACATGATATTTCATAATAAAACAGTATAATTTATTCAGAAATAGTCATTCTTCTTCTCTGACCTACACAGCTCGAACACTGCTTTATTAGATGTTACAAGTTCCTACCAATAGATGGCTACATATAGGATTCTGTGTACCATTCAATTGCCATTCTATATCGATAGAGAATCGTAGAAAAGTAGATAAAGCATTAGACGCATAACACGGTGATATATCAAAATTCTATATACATCTTTTAATTCTTTAATTTTAGAAAAATTAAGAAAATTTTCAACTATTTTTCAGAATTTTTAAACCTTTTACCAGCACTACCTGAATATTAAAAAAATATATTAACAATGGAAATGCAGTATGACAAATATCACAATACTATTGCGATTCAGTATTGACGAGTATTGATAATGTGTGGAAGGAATTGAATTTTCCGATTGATGATCACTGTATCAAGCATAGACCTTTCGTCACAGACGACGTACAGTATAGACCTGACACCTGATGCATTTTTGTGTCCAACGTTCTGAAATACCGACCGTGTAAAAAGTCAGAATTTTCATTATGCCCTCTACGATATAAAGTGGTGAGTTTAGGAATTATATACAATCTAAACGGCAAAGATGGTAAAATCAACAGATGCGAAAAATCCTCTTTTATTAAATCTGCATACAAAGATACATACATATAGTGGATTTCGTGGGTAGAACTATTGACGACCTGTCGAATCACTACAACATTTATTATAATTCACCTTCAACTTTTTCAGGAACACTGACACATATGTATAACTTTAGTTTCTCCGAAAATTCCAATATTTGTGATAGAGAAAATACGAAAAACGCAATCTCCCAACAAGGAAAACAGATCAGTTACTATCGATTTACCACGAATATAAATGTAACTACATAAAAAATTAGACCATTTTTCTTCTGACTTTAAAAATATCGTCCCGGCACAGGTTAATTACTGTGCAAATCTGATATTAGGAGTCGATACGTACTACCCCTTCGCACTCTGAGCACTTTTTCATTCGATCGACCAGCAATTTCGACACATTTTTGCAGTGAAATTTATTAAAACATCTCGTTCGCTAATTTTCTTCATTTTGATATAAATAAAACTTGAATGGAGTTATGGCGTATGTTATGAACAGCACCAGTAGAGCGCAAAGGGTTAGACTAAACTGCAATCTTCTATTATCGCAGCCAATTTGCTCGAATTATTTCCTATGTAATTGTAATTACATATTTGCTATATAATTGTAATTATACATGAAATAATATCGATTGCCCAGGCCTCACCACGTGGAGGTTGCTGCGAATAGAGGCCCACCCTAACCACACGGTCCCATCCACCCTCCTTTTACGCGCCTACTATTACTTTTCTATTAATCAATGCAACGCAACACCTTCTGCTAATTGTACATTTGCAACACGTTCAATTTCTCGATCGCTATGCAAACGGACAGTAGCAGAAGACTGAAAGAATTTCAAAGTCGACGAGAAAGAAAGAAACAAAATGTTAAATAAGAGTATCCTATCAATTTCAACTTAAAGTACTTTAAGTTTGGCTTAAACTTATGTTACGCCTACCTCATAGTACGACTTCATTCACATTTGCCTTAAACTAGGACTTAACTTAACCCTTTCACTGCGACAGACTTTGATACGTAACAAAATCTTCTGTTTCGACGTTTTAAAATTTGTTGGAAAATTAAAAAATTTACCGTTTCGAAAATTAAGGTGGAAGTACGCAAAGAAATAGCAGTGAAAGGGTTAAACCAGACTTCAACTAGGACTAACGAAAGTGTTAATTCTATACGAGACATTAACTTATGGATGTATCGTTACTCTGTCTTCCTTTTTATCACTGCACAAGAATATGTGAAGCAGTCATCTGACGAATGGAATATTTTGAAACACAAAAGAAGAAAATAGAAATAAAACGTCACATAAAAGCACTTGTCAGAGAAGAAACTGACTGCTTTGGCTATCTTGGAGGAGAACAAATAGTTGCGCTGTAACACTAACATTGAATTTTCATTAAAAACTTATCTACTTAAACGTTACAAACCTTAATTAATATCCTGCTGGACTAATAATCTTACTTAACTTAAAAGTCGCCTACCTATCTAAAGAGATTTAACTTAAATTAAAAGTCGCCTACCTGTCTAAAGATTTAACTTAAATTAATAATTGCCTACCTGGCTAAGAATCTAACTTAATATTAAAAAGCGCCTACCTGTCTAAAGATTTAACTTAAATTAAAAATTGCCTACCTGACTAGGAATACAATTTAACGTCGAAAACTGCCTACCTGACTAAAGATTTAACTTAAATTACAAATCACCTTCCTAAGAAGGTGAGAATCCAATTTAACGTCAAACATACCGTGGCTAGTTAAAATGCCACGTTTATTTGAAGAACAACCTGCCTGATTAGAAATCTATATTCAACCCTGCCTGTTCTGAAAATCTAAATGGATATAAAGACGGAAGAAAGGAAATATCAGTATGGTGAGATGAATTGCTCGTATGCTCCTCTGTCACCTGCAACAAACTCAAATTCAAACGAATTTAGTAATTAGATTTTACAAGTTACAATATGGGCATCGTTTACTTCTTTTCTTCCACTAATTTCCTCAGCTTTTGGTAAAGCGGATCTGTAACAAACTTGTTTTTTGTTGGATTAATAAAAGCAATAATGAAAGTTTGACAGCTGAAAAAAAAAGATATTGTGCACATATACGTATAAAATATTAATAATTATTATTATTGGGGAATGGAGCACTGTTTCCATAAGGGCACAGTTTACATCCGAAAGCCTCGATAATAATAATTAAAAATGAAAGTTTGACAGTCGAGAAAAAAAAAAGGTATTGTGCACACATCGTATATATATGAAATAGAAGTGATATTAAAAAAATTGAAAGGTACTTTACATTGTCAGCAATTACTTGGTACACATTAATAACAAATTATTTTTTATTTTGAAATTAGAGAATTTCGCAAAGGAAGAATCTTTGTTAATTGAACAGGAATAACCGGTAATTATAAAATATAAACTGGAAAATTTCTATACCGAATACCAAGATGAAAGAAAAAGAGACTAAAATTATGCACGTTTAAAAGTTCAAATTTTCACGGAAGAAAACGTGGAGAGATGTTCCAATTTACTCTTCATTAGGAATTTAAAACCGAAATAATCGCACAATTTACCGCAATTTTATCTATATCATCCTTTTTTGAATTGGCAACGAGTATGCGATGTCGTACCGGCGATTCAAACATTTTACTATGAATATGCGGAGTCCAACGACTTTCCACGTAACAATATTTCTTTGCAAGCTTTTCACACGTTGCACACGGAATATGAAAAGTATAATCGCGAGTGTACTTTAATTCGTGCAAAACTGTTTCGAAAATTTATAAAAATTCACTATACTCTACCGTTGCATCAATCGTTACGTATCGAGTAAAGTAAACTAACTCTAATAACAATTAATTCTTATTTTTTTTTGTTGTTTTTAAGAATTCACCGAGCTTCTACTTGTACTTTCATTCGTTATTAATTCTTCCTCTGATATATTCCGATTCAATTCGAGATTCTCAACGTCTCAAAGTCTTTAAAAATAAATCACCATCAACATTACTTAATATCGTAAACATTAATAAATATCTGTTACAGCAATTCAATGAATACAATTTTCAACAGTATTTCATGACAAACACTCGGTTTCCTAATCCACTCGTTCTAAACCCGAGCAAAAACCGTGAGTGGAATAATTCATTCTTTTACGCAACACTAATCTATTAAATGTACGAAATAAAAAGAGTCTCAGAATCAATCGCGGTGAGTGCTTCATTTTACTTGCAATCTGAATTTACGAAAAAAAAATGATAAAAAAAGTTACCGTTAAACGCGAGAGCAGCCACGTTAGGGCGCTTTAGGGGATACGCAACACTAATCATCTATGCACTCTGTAATTTATAATACGCAACACTAATAACGAGGGATCCATGGCAGTCGTAGTCAGGGCAACTGCCC